AATTACATGACGTTCAAATTAGAGTTCCCTTTGATGTATGTATTGAATTATAGTATAATAAATGAATGAAGAGTATTTAAAACTGTTTAAATTATTATTTATTTTTATGGCTCATTAACTATGAACCATTTATAATTATAAACACTATATTTAATAATTTAGTGTATATACATAATGTGGTGGAATAGAAGTGTTAGTAATTGTCACCAGACGTAAACTTGTTTGTTCTTAAGACGACTGCGACACTTCGGCACGCTCCAAAGTTATATAACGGGTCGATATACACAGTCACACGTGGGAAAGTAAAACCATCCCTCTCTACCATAGATAACCACTTGATTATGTACTGTTCAAAAATTACAACCTAATGTTTGAATATATAAAATAAAAACCCATTATTAATTATTATAGCTAATAAACTACAGTGTGTAAAAATAGTAATGAGCGTGGATTCTCATACATGGACGTGGTCTCGGTTTATGAACAATTCCCACGAAGTCTTTCGACTACATACTGTAGGTAAGAAGTACGGTCTATATTATATTTCCACGGAGGAACCCTTATGTTTTTCTACGAGAAAATTAATTTCTGCTTCCTTCGCACACCATTGTTAGCGTGCGCACATGCCGGAACATTAGTTGTAAGTCAAAATTTTGGATTACATGCAAAACAACAACTCTATAGTACCCATCACTACACCTGTAATAGCAGCTACATCATCTATAAATATATATATCCATTAGATGTTTCTGAATTTTATGATTTTCACTCTTCTTTTTTTTCATTTTTACAATACACAATTGTTATCAACATAAACGGCCAATTGTCACGTCATCCCACCCCAGGGATTAGACTACTAAATCGTCCCCCAATGGGCCGGAACCACCGAACCGTGTTTCCTACTTCCTGGTTACTCGAAAAATAACTCATCGTGCAATGCCGTGTCAACCACAATGATTTTTTTTTTTTAAAAAAAAAAGTTTTAGGTAACTAGGTTACGAGTATTATTGAATTTATGAGGATTAAAATATTTAAATAAAGGACTTTTGTTGAGGCTTAAAAGTATACTGTTTAAAAAGTAAGACTATAGTCTACTTATTTGTCAAATTACGAAAATATGGTTAGTCTAATAAGAAAAAAAAAACAAAAATGTAACTCTTAAATAGTTGTACTAGATGCACAATAAATATATTTAGTACAAATGTGTATGTACTTCTATGGATAAAACTTTTAATGATTTTCGAAGGATTTTTATGATATTTCATGTGAATTATTTTTAAACTTTAACAAAATATCAATAGTTCAAAAATCCGTGGTTTTCCGAAATAAATAACCGTAGGTATTTTTATGTTTGTTGCGCGAAGTATAGTGTGCAAGTAAAAAAAACTTTTTTTTTTATAAAATATTATTTTAATTCATTTTTATTTTAAACACAAATTACACAAAAAAATTTGCAAGAACATAATTAAAAAACAATTATTATTATGTGATACTATTATGTATGTGTATAAGTCCACAGCTGTTCATATGTTGTTTTACCACTATTAACACGTCATATGAGCCATATTATATTTGCTTTCATATGAATATGCGCACATATATGTGCATTGTGTATCGAAAGTTTGGAACCCTTTTATAGAGAATATTTTATGACATAAGTGTACTTGTATAACATAGGATTAAAGATTTATTTTATTTTGTTACGTCCATTTGATTTGATTTTTATTACTTAAAATTTTACTTTATATATAAAAACTGTTATATATTTTTAAAATTTTTTGTACCTACACATATTAAAAAAAGTGAATTCGCAATAATATGATGTGAATTATTCGCACAGAAAAAAGACTACGATCAAAGCCATAATAACTGCAATTAGTAATTTAGTATTTCATCACAATTCGTTCCAATTTAATATTTTTTTTTTTTAAATACCTTCAAAAATGATACAACTACTGGGCATGATTTTGCATTAATGACCTATTCTAGTTTTATTATTTTAGACATAGCTCTCCTATGCTCTTGGACATGAACTTTTTAAAATCAATTGCAAAACTAATTATTATTTTTTTTTTTCATTACTATATTTTTTCTATTGTCAAAACTCATCAAGACATGCACCTAAAACTCCATTCAAGCGTGTCCATTTGTATACGCAAGTGACTTAGGAATTATAAGAACGCTTATATGCATCAATCAAAATCCTACCTACTTCCACTGGACGCTTGCCCAGTATTCAATTTACAAAACAACACACGTATTTGGCGTTTACACACGGAGAGCTACACATTTATTATTAAAAGTATGTATGAAATGTGCGTAAAATATTTTAATACTTTATAGTGGGTACGAAGATAGTTGTAAATTTACCTGACGCCACGCCTTCAACTCTTGCGGAATATCTGGTTTTGTGTTATTATAATTTTTTTGTCGTTGTAATTTCAGCTACATGCATACATGTATGTTTAAAATACATCAAAATGTGCACATTAAAAACAGTTGCGAGTGATCTCAAATATTATTTTCTGTAATTCGCCTCGGGGATCAAAAATATTATATAGATTAATAACTTCAATTAAACTGGTTATCAAAATTCCAAAAGAATTCAATGAAAGAAAACATTCACCGATTCATATTATAATTTTATACTAATTGTACACCTAGGCTTAAAATTATGATTTAAGAGTATCACTTTAATAAACTATCTTAATACCACATATTATCTGAATGAATAGTATTTTTAGTTATATTTTTATGAAGTATTCTTAAAAATATTACAATATTACGTATACAGTTTTCAAAATAAAAACTTAAAAGTAATAAAGATTTACATAATAAGATAGTAAGATAATATTATATATTTACCTATTACTAAAGTATTATATTTTGTATTTTCTACTTTGTTTTTGATGGATAACAACCAAGTATTGTTTCATTAATCTGCATTGTTATCAATAGTTAAAGAATTTTTCAAAACTACCATGCATATTTGTAAACATTTTCTGCATTCGTGTAAACCAATAGCTTTTTTTCCGAAATTTTTTCTAACAACAAAATTGAATGTTATTTTAACTTTTACCAATCTACGTATTATTGGTGTTTCAAAATTATGAATTAACGTCTATGTTATGTTGATATCCATTATATTAAAAAAAAAAGAAAAACTAAATTATTGTGTGGCAAAATTAATCTAATACTACATACATATAAATAAATGTATATTAATATTATTTATAAATAAAGTAATACAAGTTTTGTTATACTAAAAACGTAGTTAAAATTATATTCAGTTTAGATTATGTATGCATTTAATAATATATTAGATTGAATTACAGAAGCTTATATGAACTGTGTAATAATTGAAAAAAATATATTTTATTCAAACAAATTGTAAAATGTATTGAGGATAAAATTACTTTCATGCTGCACGTACCAATATAAACATAATGCAGATAAGATAATTCGATAATTTAAAAAAAATGAATGGTAAATTCTATAGATTTAATATTTCGTTTTTTTTTTTTTTTTTTAACATATTTCAATAGTATAATAAGCTAAACTAATCTTTTAAACATCTATATATTATATTGTAATATAGGATTATAAAAAAGGTGAAATAATTATTGTTTCAAATATAAATAATAAAACAATTTAAAAAAAAACTCAAAATGTGATACTTAGTACGTAATTGACCGTCAAACACTTTTCTAATCCTATAATTATTTTCTTGAATCTACTCATATCATACATACATCTGATAATGAAACGCACAATGTCAGGAAAATACACCATGTGCAACTATTTTAGTAACTATTGATTTTCGTTTGTGAGCGCAATCAGCCTCGTTTTTGTTATCAAAGTGAAATGAGCCTTGTTTCATTCAACTTATTTTCTTGATCTCATAGCAGATAAACCGGAATATACTACACACACATACATATATATATAAGAGATGTTATTTGACTTCCGGTAACTGTATTGTGTTAGTATAATGACCACATGAGAACTTCCTTCTATTCACAGGTTTAGCAGTTAAATTTATTACCTATTCCTACTAAACGTCTGTTTTGTGGTAACTTAAAAAAAATGTAATTACATAAATAATAGATTTATGTTAAATATTCCGGAATTTCTTTAAATATGGATGGTATAATAATAACTAGTAAGCTATGAGTGTATTTTATCGCGATTATTGGCGAGTGAACATCTGGCTAGCGAACAAATTCGGTATATACACAACAATAATAACTTAATAATTCAGCGCAAATTACATAAACGATAAATGGCACATATGTTTTATTTAGAGTGAGAACTACATATGTGTTTGTACACAGTATACTATAATGTGCGTACAAGAAAAAATAGTATATAGTTTCTTATAGTTGCTATGTATAGCTAGACATCAATAAGGAATAAAACATCGGCCAAGAATTAATATTAAGTCCCTATTCTTGGCACAAGCTTTCAAGGTCTTTTTATATAACTTCTACATTCTCATGACTCTTAAGCAATTTTTTTTTTTGGCAAACACTCTTAAAAAAATATTTGACTTATAATACATCAAACGAAATTAATTTACTAACTTTACAATAAAATAGGTATATATGATATACGTGTAATTATATACAATTTAAGTACAGACTCTATACCTAACGACATTTTACACTTGCTTTTAGTATTATGATCCAAACGTATTTCAAGACTTTAGTCAGGTTTAAACCTCAATAGTAAAAAATTACATTACTAAAAATATAATATTGTACTAATTTTTGAATTAATAATATTAAATTAATTATACATTTAAATTATGTTATGATTAATATAGCAATACGTTTAATGAAGATCTTGATCAAGACTCAAGTCTATTTTCCATAAACAGTTGATACGATTACTCCTATATATTAACCATTTGTATTATTTTTCATTTTTACAATATAAGTAAATACTATTTTAAAAAATTTAAGAGAATGATTTTTTTTTAATTATTTATGAATTCTTACCTGTACAGCACTATTAAGAAAACAGTTGTTTTGTCCTGGCCCATTGAGCAAGCCTTTGGTGTAAGCCATTGAATCTCTAGAAGGTGGCATTTTCTTCGGTATTTTCAAATTTCCTATGAACAAGATAAAAAAATAATATTATACTATTTTAATATTAAGATGCTAAAATTTGTAGCATCGCCTTAAAAATGGGTAGATTATTTACTGATTCCTATTGGAATTTAAGTGAATACAATAACTAAATAATTATAATACAACATATTCATTGCCTATTGTTAAATACCAATGTATTTATATTTGTACTATAGTTATTACTCATTTCCTATCTCAGAATGCTACAGCTGGTACAATAAATTTAGCGAACAATATTACTATAAGCCCATAAGTGAATATAAAATGAAAAATTATTGTTATCTCACTGCTATAAGGTAAAATATAAAATATGAAAATTCGGAGCTGGCTTTTAATAGAAAAAACACTCTACAAAAAAAACCTATTGTAATTATAATATACGACGTATATTTTGTTTAGGCTGTGTGTAGAATAACTAATATTATTTCCCTCTGAAGACAATACAAAAAGACATAATATACGAGTATACCCCTCGTTTATTTTTATGGTGATATTGTTGCTTATTTAAAAACATGATTCTTTATGCTTGTGTTATCGAGACTTGAGTTCATTTTAAAGACACTTTGTCGGACTAGTATGGACTACTGATGACAGTTCATGCTCGAAAACATGAGGCACGTCTTAGTCAGGAAATTAAACGACCAATACCATCACAAGTATGAAGTATATTAACTCCTTTTTTTCTGTATTTTAGGCTTTACGCATACATTTCAATGGAAATTCTTACTAAACAATCATTTTTGGCTATTAGTTACACAATACAGACTTCCTGTAAATTATTTGTTGAATAAATATAATAATTTACTATTATTAAAGGAATAATACTTAAAAATAAATAGGGCTGGGATTTTAATACAAATGCATTTTTTTTCTGATATCGCAACACATATATTTATAAGCGAAAATGAGTTTTGAAACTGATTAATTTAATGTAGTTTTTATATGCATTTTTTTTTCTTTTTTAATAAATTTAACTTTAAATGCATTAATAGAGTATGCTAAACTTTTTAAACATTAAAATCCCAGCCCTTATAATAACTAAAAATCTATGTTTTAAATATGATAATTATTGTTTTAATCTGAACATATACTCGTATATGATTAAAGGGAAGGCACGTCAGAACAAATTGTACCCTTTTTAATATTATGAACTATAATAATGGTCCAATGATACAGCAAAAACATCTTTAATTCGACAGTTATTGTGTCCTTTGTCACCCATGTTAAAAAAAATAAGAATATGTTCCAGTCATCGTTAGATAGTTATCAATTATCATTTTGTGGACAATTTTGAACTATGAAATGAACTAGTCCAGTTTAAACAGTATGTCTTGTAAAGTAAACTGGTTTTATAACTGCATGACATTAGGCTTGTGCTGGATTAAAATACATGATTTTTTTAACAAAAAAAAAACACTCATAAAATGTCATTAAATAAAAACAACTTACTTCTTTTACGTGCTTAGAAATAAAAACAACGATATCACAAATTATATTAATTGATGGTATCGATAATTAAAATAATAAAAAAAAAAACCAGTTAACATATTAATACATTTATATTGGGTATCATTTTTTAATCAGCACATTTCCATAAATATTTTCAAATATTAAAAGCTATAAAATTTGAACTGTACAAAACGTTCTATACAGTTACACAAAATACAATATTTCGAAAATTATTTTAACATATTTATTAGAACTATTATATTAAGTATATTATATTAATATTATATATAAAATTATACTTATGTCCCAGGCGGATTATTTTCATTAGAATTAATGAAACAAAACTCGAATTCGGTAGAAAATTGTTTACTTTTTTCATATAGCTTAATTACAAAGGGTTAATGAATTATCAAAATTCTAAGAAAATCGAGAATAAAATATACCATAATTCATAGTACCTATAGTGAATACTGCATAGAAAACTGTGACCTTATTGTGTTTAATGTTTTGAAAACAATATACTATTTTATATACACATTTTATGTGAGTTGCAACTATGAACAAAAAATTAAATAAATATATTCTTAAGTTTCTAAAAAAATAGCGATCAGAAGTGCATGCACATATTTCAATAAACAATTAATGAACAATGAACCGTAACAGATTGTGTTCAGCAATGTTTACACGAATATATAATATAATGATGTAGAATGACAATCTAAAGATATACCGTTACACTTTATAAAGAACTGTCTAAACATTACGAAACCATACTACGGTTCCATTACAGTTATTAATAGGTATAGTTTAGAATTGTATTTTTCTTAATCAAACCTAATTATTGCATTATTAAAGCTACTAATAAAATTGATCAACATTTTAACATATGTTTGACAAGATAATAAATAAACAGTAAATATTCAAGGATTTTCTTTACAGAGTTTTTCATGATCTTACCTTTTATGATAAAACAATAAAATATAAACGGATATGATGACGACATTTTTAATGATTATTTTATTTTATTTGTTTTTGTATTTGTTCATCCGAACAATGGATATTCCCATTAGTTTCGCTAGTTGGACGTCAATGTCACGCAAGGGTCCGTTACTATTAAAATCAGGTGTGTTAAATATTCACTATGTCATAATTAAGGGTGTCACTTGGGCAACAACGAAAATAGATTAAATTACAATAACTGTTAAATTTAACTGAATACATTTAAATAAAAATATATTACATATCATAACATTTACCCTTATTTTATTATGGATTCGAATTATCAATATATTTTAAGGATTTGATAAATTTCGAATTCTCAATAAATATACAATAAAAGTAAGAAAAAGGAAGAAAAGTATCGTCAATAATTTTATTTTGCTTTATTTTTACAGGAAAAGTGAATTTCAAGGCTTATCATATTAATTGTTCAATCTTATTGGATAATTATAGTTTCACAAGGTAATCCATTTATTCATAAAATACATTATTCAAGAAGTCAGGTATTATATATTTAAACTATTAATTCTTTCTTATAATTCAGATTACTTGTTGAATTTGTCTGCTTCAATAAACAATTTGGTATAATAATTTTGAGAAAAAAAGTTATTTTTTTGATAAGTTAGAAACACCCAAAAACAAATGTATTTAACTTAAACAACTTAACCATCAAATTAAGAATATTAAAATAGTATTACGGTTAAACGACAAGTAAAAAAAATTGTATTAAACAACCTTAATAAATGAATAAATGAACATTATTATAAACCGTTCCTTTTATACATATAAAACGCCATGTGTTACACGCCCTTTAATCCTTTACAAAGAATATTATTGTCAGTGAAGTTTTTAAGGACTAGTTATATATGTATTTATATTTTCTTAGATAAGTAATATTTATTGAAAAAACTAAAATTAATTAATTATATACTGGAGGAAAAACGAATTTTTTTGTTAAAACATCAGCTTCAGCAGCGATTACATTAAATTACATTTTCAAGTATATTTTAATTTATGTATAAATATGTAACGTATGCACATTATATTTAAATAATTGTGTAGGTACTTTTAATATTTAAAACAAAAATTAAAGATAAAATTAAAACATTTTTTTTTTTTATCGTTATACCATGCAAATCATGATCAACTATACTGTATTATTTTTTATTATGTATTACTACTACTAAATGTTATAAAGAAGATAGTAAATTTTAATAAATCAAAAATAAATAAAAAAAATTACAAAGAATTTGTTAATGATAAAAATGCATACTGTTATTATTGTAGATACCTAAGAAATATTTTCTGAAGTTTTTAATAAATATATCTACCTACCTATAAAATTAAATAATAATATGTATATATTAAACATTGTAATACTTCTATATTTTGTGTTGATATAAAATAGTATAAGTCGTATTAGTTTATAGTATATACTATAAAGTAGGTATTTATTTACCATATAGAATCGCATATAAACACGTTTTTATCTCTTAAGTATTCGCGTTCGTTATGTTTATACCTTTAATCGTACACGAAAATCGAAATACATAACCACACATATATTATTAAAATACAACGGACGGTTTTGGCGAAATTGAGGATAGGACGAGTGACGACCTACATTGAAAAATGCGGCCTCAGCATCGCCCGGAGATCTGAACTGCCTCTCGGCATACCAAGAAACGGAATGGATTATGCAAGTAGCACACATACGACGATAGTCATGTTTTCATATCTTAATTTCAGCGGCAATACATATTGCTGCGTTACATGATCCGGAATCACGTATAGTAAAATGAATTGAATATTTTCTCGTACAAACATCACAGTGTGAATTATGGTTACTATTAAGACTGTTTCGCTTGTCACCGTCTCCCACACAAATCATATGCCAAAAATAATCGAGAAACTATTAGACAGGGAGGGTCGAAACGTCACTTCGACAACAAAATCCTATAGTAAGCATTAAAAAATGAAAAATTGAATGTATAGTTTAATGTATTACTAAAACGTAAATTAGGAATTTAAACCTGAACATTTAAAGCCGGTCGTTTTACGGTCATTTAAATGATATTAACAGACAAAACGATTTTCTACCGAAATGACACACACATGAACGAACTGACTTTGATCAATCGTTACCAATCTATTTCTCAAGACAATGACCATTTGTCATTATACTAATTTATAATTAAGGAATGCGCCATTAGTAGGTACCTAGACTATAAATTTAAAATATCTGACCAATGACAAGGAAAGCAGCTCAAGACATTTGTGTATTGTTTTTTTTTTTTTTAAATGTATTAACTGTAATAGGTATAGCTGTTTTTGTAACTTTAACCGTTAATCTAAAACTGTTAGAATGTTTATTTCAAGTTATGTTATGTAGTAGTTTTTAGTACATTGATGGAAAATTATTAAACAAAGAAATAATATAATACAATAATAATATAATATCTAATATTTCGTAATTTAAACTAATGCATTATTACAAAAAAAAATTCGAGTATTATACATATGGTGCAAATAAAAATAAATTGAAATGTTACTTCAGTATTATACCTTGGTTTTTTGACCAATTCGCAGCATGATGTTTTTATATTTTATGATCATTACGGCCAAACAGACAACGGAACACCGATACAAACTGTATATTTTATTGCCTACGTTTGGTATATGTATAATATTATTGGTAGGTGTTTTTCAAAACGTGATATTTAAACTTACGTGACTGAACACTGGTTAGACTGTATTTAAAATGAATATTGTAATCCTGGAAACAAACTTCTGAACAGGTACACCCATTGTAGGTAGAAATAATGGTTAATCGTGTTAGTCAGGGTAGTTGTAACTGAACATCAAAAATGTATTTTTATTTTATTCTGAAAATCCTGCTGAGTCTAATATAGAACCAGAGTGTTAAACTTAACATTTAACTATTCTATATTTTGCCAAAAATTTGGTTCTTGACGTTTTACGTTTTTTTTTGTAAACAATATTTCACCCATGAGGCCACAAATAAAGGGTTACGAAACTTCAGGTAGGTTCGTTTACATTGAAATGAACTCTTCAAATGAGATTATTGTATTAAGAGAATCTTGGTTGAATACCTAACCAGTGGGTACGAGTATTAAAGCTGAATAAGAATATTTCACTTCAGATCTGTGAATAACCCAGATATAATCATATTTAACATACAATGCAAAATAATAATAAGGAATATACAAAGGAAACACGTATTGGCAATTTGATCTGTACACATCTCAATGACAATTTTTGAACAAAGCAATTATATTTTAATCAAACATTAATCATTAATCTGCATGCAAATTAAATTCACATTATTAAAACATATACCACAGTTTGCTACTGGTTAAATGTCATAAAATAACTTTTAAATAGTGAACATACTTGCATGATTATACAATATACGAAAAATACAAATCACTGAGTATGTAACATATACCTAACGTAACTATATTTATCATGCTGCCAGATTGCCAGAAGTATAATAATTGATTTTCTACCAAAACTGTATAACGATATTTCAATAGAGCATTATGTTTCAATATTGAAAAAAACCACATCGATTCAATGCGGATAATTCGAGCGATTATTCTGTATCGAGTGAAATAACGTAGGTATTTATTGGTTACCGAGACCGTTAATTCAGAAGAACTGTAGTTTATTGAGCAAACGGATTGTAAATAATATTGTAACGATACGGAAATATTTAATGATCCACCTATTCCGTTATCTATAGAAAGTTGCTGCAATTGATAGAAAAATTTCTATATTACGCACCACTGTCTATAATATTATAAAATGTACAACTAAATACGGCGTGATTGCAGTATGCTATTTACTATTTTTAAAGGAAATATCGGAAAGGAGATTAACAAATTTACTAGAGTCACGTTTAAATATTTTGCTTGATATATGCTTGAGAGACTGGAAGTTGTAATGTGATGTTGTATCCTACACAAACGTCGGTTCATCACTATGTTTATTTAATTAGATTTATCATTAATGTTAAATGTCTCACAAAAACAATAATGGGATAGAGTGTATGAGTATAGTTTTTTCTTTAATTCCGGTTGCTCAAAACGACAGTTTTTCAAACGACCGAAAACGGGTAAAATTTCATTACATCACTAATCAGACTTCCTGCACAAGATCGCCGTGAAGTTATAGGAATACAATACAATACCAGTTGACATAGTATGACGAAAACGATTTAAATGATTTTCTGCTAGGAAAACGAAACCATCGTCGTCTTGATGGCGCACAATAGATTCGAATCAGAGATAATCGAAGGGTAATACGCACCATAAGCGTGCGCAGATATAATTGGCAAGATACTCATACATAACACATTGAAATTTAATATTAACAACAAATTTGGATGGGATAACTTCATAACTTCTAAATAATTATATATTTCCAATATTTTTATACATGTTTTTACTGTTTACGGACGTTTCGAAATGGTTGAACATTATATGGTTATTTATTGTTGTAATAATATTGAATAATTCGGTAAGGGAGGAAAGGTTCACAGAGTAGTCAAGTACCTACACTAACTACACCATGCGCACTCTTATGGAAGGCAATATTTGTGAAACCCAAACACGGGAAAGACTGCATGATTAGCGCTGACTGCGTTACATTTCACCCCCGATGCGAATCGCGACACATATACATCATTGAAACTCCCTGGCGAAAACTTTGGAGGAATTCCCAGTGATAACACGGTTTACGGGTTTTTACGCACGAGCTTTCGTGACGGTGTCGAGTATCCACACGGCCGGAACGCAAGCAACGAACCTTTACGTATAATATTAACTTCCAGTGGCGGATCTACGGGGGGTATTAGGGATAGATTTTTCCCCCGTGGTGTGCCATGGGTTAAACATTTTTTTTTTTTGCAGCCAATGCAATTTTTGTATGCACAATTTAACTAACTATTTTTTTATTATTTCGTAACCAAGAAGGTTTACAAGAAGGAACCAAGAAGGATACACGTATCTAACTTGATATCAGATTACGGATACACACCTCGCACTTGAAGACCCGGAGGGATACAGCCATAGAGTAATATGTACTATATTAATATGTATAATAGAGTAGATACTCTATGGATACAGTTGAGCTAACATTCTCAACATTAAAAAGACTAAAAATTTACTCGGGAAATTTTATGGGTCAGGTAGGAAGGTATATAGTATATATATTAACATATTTTTATTTTATTTTTTTATGTAGAAGCGACTGAATGGGCTTACCATGTTGTCTGTTCATAGGAAAATACAAGACTCGATGAAGTAATTGATGTAATGGCACAGTCATCAAGAAAATTAAATCTTGTTTTGTAAATTTAGTAGAATAAAGCTTATATACCTATAAATATTATGTACGAAAATATTTTATACCTCCCCTCCCCAATGCGAAAATCCTAGACCCACCACTGTTAACTTCAAACAGCTGTGTTCGCCGTGTACGTGTAGTGTGTACAGTTTAACTTTCAACCGAAGCTCTCCTTCCTCCTCCCCTCCACCCACCGAACAAAAAAACCGGGAGATAGACCCGCTTGAAACACGTGCCATTACGAACACGTTCTGTAAGTGCTCGAACAAGACTCACCCGCGGCTCGGACGACTTAAACCATGTTCTCTTCGACAACGGTAACGGCTGACCGAGCGAACTCTTACGCTGAGCGTTTCGCGACGCACACCGAACCGAAATATTATGTCCAAAGGTCGCGACGATGCGCGCGCACAGATCGCGGAGGAAACGGAACACAGAATCGGTACAACGTCGAGTGATTATTTTAATACTGAGGCGGTAACATCGCGGCGGCCAGAACGGTGAACTTTCGAATGGCGTTCGTGCGGCGGAAAAGCGATAGACGACGCGACAACGGACGCACAGCACAGAACATGATGGACGACGGTCTCCGACTGAACGTGGTGAACGTGTCGCTCCGCGAGCATGGAAGGGCGGCGGCGGCGGTGACGGCGATGGCCGAACTCGTTTCGAGTTTCGACGACGAGGTTATTCTACCGATTCTATCCGTCGCCGTCGCAACGACAACGAACGGACGGCGGCGGCGGCTAGGCGCGCGTATCGTATGTTGTACCGCTCAACCGGTGTCCACCGTGCACGACCCACATTTACACCGGTTCATCGCCTACGAACACACCGATCGGTGTTATCGGTACGCACCGGCGTCGCCATCGCTTTATTTACATACGGTCGAGGCGATTCTGTAGCGTGTAAACAATAATTAACACTTATGGCGTACACAAGATATTCGGTAATATTTAATTATAAAGATTCCGTGTGTTACTAATCACGACCGATGATCAATGATTGCTTCTGGAGATCTGTAATAGTATTCACGCGGTATCCTTTATCAGGAACGCACTATTTTCCAAAACCAACCAATATAAACGATTTGACAGTAACTGCTTGCGCCAAAATCTTACCATATCAAACAACTCTCGTTTCCCGTTGCACATGACGTTTTCTAAATAATAAAATTTAAATCTAAATTTTAAATGTTCCTAAATTATTGTTTATCTGTGGACAATTCGCAGTGGTTGTCGAATTAATAAACAATACGGATAGTTAGGTATATTAGGGTAGTGACGAATTGTCGACGAGACGAAGATGTTATAAATAAAAATAATACATCATTCTCGCATCACATTGTTTTTTTTTTTTTTTAATTGAAAAGAAAGGCTTCAACATCTGAGGTTATTTGTCTTGTGTAGATGTTGTTATATGTATGTTAAATTTATCCTTAAGTTTAAATGTACACGTTTTCACATATTGTTATAAATCAAAAAAAAAAATTATATTTATACAATATTTATTCTGCGGGCTACAACTCGTTTGGGCACATTTACCTTTTTTACAGCTCGTTTGTGCAAAAATGCACAACTCGATTGCGCACAGATATTTTGGCTACCTGTGACGAAAATCCTTAGTTTCAGAACTCGTTTGCTTATTATCATTGATTATTATACTCCTTGTGATTATGATAATTGGTTACTTTTATTATTTTGTTTGATTTACTCGTATTAACAATAACACTCACAGGAAATTTTTATTTGTGTATCTAAAATCTGAACATCCACTCATTAAAACATGGTATTCACTAAATTTATATTTACCAATATTAAAACATCGTTTTCCTCACCGAGATTCAAAAATATAAGAAATTTCTTCGTCCATATTAAAATTTACGTCATCAACACACTAGTCACCACTGTACCGTCCATATCCATACCTACTGAAACATTACTATAAGTTGTTTTTTGAACATTCAAATTTATATAATCTACAGTCTACACAATATAAAATAATATATTTGATAATTTTTACTGCAGTCTGTGACGATATATGTATACACGTGTTATCAGTGGCGTATCTTGGGGGATTGTAACCTCCCTCCACCCGAAAATGTTTAGTGTATGTATATTGTCTAAATTTTGAATGTGCACAAACGAGTTGCAACGTATCTGTGTAAGACAAAAGACGCCATAAGATAAAATCCATTTAATATCACCCTGCTTCTATATACACGCGTGAGATAACCTACTCAAAAAGCAAATCCGCTTTTCGTGCAACTAATCGATTGTAGAACTATGAATAATAGGTATATACGTAAAAGTTGTGTATAATTTCGACTGCGCTCAAGTGGCAGCCATAATCTTGTGAGTATCGTGTGACTTCTAGTTGACGAGGAGTGGGTGGCACACGAGTGATGGGTTCTAAAACAGCAGTAGGTAATGAAATACGGTCTATATCTTTCAATAATTAAATGGAAAAATAATTATTGTTTTGCGTTCAAAACACCACTGCGGCCTACAGTGGCATGTCGATTATTTCCCGGGACTTAAAATTAATAGTATACACCCGTTTTTACCCTCAACGAGGATCGTGTAGGCAGTCCACAGATAGATTCATTTTTTTTTACAGCTATAACATGGAATGGTATCCACCATACTTACCACATGCTGGTCATCGTTGATGTACACGTGCACCACATGTACACGTACACAATGTTATTATTATACGTATAAAGGTATCCATAACGTTGTGCGTCGATAATATTATTTATCGTTATTTTTTCATCCCGACCGTAATTTTAGACTCGGGGCCATTATCGCAGTCTCCTAAAAAATTATATCTGTACACGCCACTGCACGGACTGTGTACTCAAACACTATACCTCGGTCCGGGGAAAATAATTCAGTAATCGTCTCACACGTTTGATTTTGTATATCTGTTCGCGTGTTTAACAACTTCACGCGGCCCTCCGTTTATAATCGACGTTTGCACGTGTACGTATGTGTGTAATATGTAAATACGTGCGCTACAATACGCGTAGTTTTAATATTAATCGAACGCTTTCAGTGACGCGACCTCGATAGCTCACGTCGTAGTTGTGCATAGGCCAACAACAGTGCCCACCGCGCCCTACCGATTATTGTATTACAACTAATCATAATATATACCCGTGGAAGACTATAACTAAATAATAATATGTAATGCAGTGCGTACGCATCGGCTCACCCGTGTGTACCGTAACCGTATACCTATACCGTACACGTACACGTACCTGTACCGTATACCTCTACATAGATATTCTACATGACGCGCGTACGCGTTTCCGGAATGTGTCCGATATTTTTCGATCAACTATGAGTGCGAATAACCGTATCCTGAAAGTATATTCATTTTGCAGAACCTTATTTAACGGTTTTATTCGAAGAAAAAAAAAAAATTTTAAATATAGTCTTCGAGTTCAGTCAATTTTACTAAAACGTTTAGGTGCTCACTGCGTGCGAAAAGCGTTTCGATAGTTCGAGTGATATTTTTGACTACGTTCATCTGTCAAATGTTGATATTTGTCAGTGAATAGTCAAAAAAAAAAAAAAATGTAACTGCCCAGACACACTTAAAATACCACCTGTAGCGTCTAAGAACGTGCACGTGATGTGCTACAGAGCACCGGTTTATTATATCTTTTAATTATAAATTGTCGTTATCGTTCTGAAAAGGAAAAAAATATATCATAATATTCAATAAATCTTAAATATATACATACAAGATACAAATGAAGATACAAATTAGATACCACCTGTTTACTGCCACAACACATATAAGTAAAAATATTATAGTTTTTTCATTGAAACTAAGTGTTTATGTGCTTTATTCACATAATCAAAAATAGTTTTAGTAAAAAGAGAAAACTATGGAATACGAGTATAAGAAGAAACTTCATGGATCGATAGTTAATTCTTCGTCATGTTAATTGTATTAATTGTATACATTCGAAAGCAATGATAAATTATCGCATTTAAAAAAACGATTTTAAGTGAAGGTTGGTGATCATTTCTTTATAAAATTTTAACTCATCAGTATTTTGTAATAAAATTATTTTTTTGGTTATATTAAGAATACAAGGCAAATATATAATATTAGAATATTTATAACACTTATTGCTATCTAATAAGCTATACGTATTAAAGATTAAATAAATATAATAATTAATAAAGAAAATCATCAATTAAATCATAAATAAAATTTTATAACCATTATAAAAAAGAAAAAGATAACTCAATTTTCAGACTTATCAACACTTTGTGAAATGGTGAAATTATTTTAAAAAAATTTCAAGTTATATACATTAGCGTAGCTTTGAGCTAGTTTCCTCACCACCACAACTAACACTAAACAATACCTTAGTTATATTATATCTTTTAATAACATGAAGTATTACATGCAGCTCGTTTTTTTTTTACGGTATATCCTTGAAGGCCTAATTCACATAGTAGACCTTCTATAACAATAAATCTACCTCGACAGTAAAATTTTTTAATAAAAAAACTAATTAAGTTTATCGTAAATAAAGTACGACAATAATGTAACTTCTAAAATTTTTGAACGTATCAGTTGCATTGTCATTTAAATTATTCAATTTGTAATACAATCACGGCTTAAAGATTTATTGAGAAAAACAATTTCAATATATAATTTTTTTTTAAATGTTTATATATTAATTAATGCGTAAAACCAAATAAAATATGTATAAAATATTATGAAAAATATTTTATAATTATACACTTTTACAATGGTAAAACTGTACAGTCGTCCAAAATGAAATAAACTCGATTAAGTATTTTTCAATAAAATGTTTGCTATAAGTGTATAACAGATGAATCCTGATGTATATGGCTATCTTACTATTTTTAGAACATTTATAGCCAATATTTATATAACTGTACATTTTTTATTGTATAGAATGTTTCATTAAGAACGCCGGATTTAAATTTGCTATAAATTTATTAAAAAAAATTATTTTGAACAAAAAAAATACATCAACATATAGGAAATATTCTGTGATTTAAGTGTGAAATATCACACCTGACATATGTCCACCTCGGCTTCGCTGGCAAGCTTCTGTTCGTAACATGAAATTTGCAATCACTTGCTGTCACATCTCCGGATATAGTTCACCAATGACACGACGAATTTAAATTGTATTTTCTTCGTTTCACTCCATATTGAAATTTTTAGTTACGAATATTAATAACAGACAACAATGATTAGTGATTACGATTTAAAGCGTGTGGCGTGACAGTCAGAATACAAATAATGCGTTGTTACGTTATTATTTACGTCCACACTAATCGTATCTTCACCTCGCAACAATCTTTTGATGCGATTCAAGTTTACCGACAACTCGTGGAACGCGGTATAACTTCGTCGAGAAACAACTTTTATTACGCGACGGTGTTACACCTTCACATACACACATTGATTGTTGTTACGGGCCTAAGTTCCGATACGGTGTTACGTTACGCGCAAATGTAAAGCAGGGTACACACTTGTACGTAACCGTAACATGTAACAGTTCAGAGTTACGATACGCATGAATTTTACAAGTGTGTACCTGGCTTTA